ACTTTTTTTAATTATAAATTTATCTTAAAAAAATTAAATATTATTTCTTCACAAATAAAAAAAAAAATCTCAAATTTTTTAAAAAATTCGAATAAAAAATAAAATAATAATAAACCTGCTTAGTACAATTTACGCAATAATAGAAAGTTCAACTGACCTGTCAGAGATTAGCTTGTTGATAATTATTTATTCAAACTTGAACAAACTAAAAATAAACGTTTAAACCCAACAATTAAAAAGAATTTAGAGTTTGGCTCCTGAGAGTGACCAGCAAGAGAGTTAGCAGCGTACTCCTGAGGGTCAGAACTCGTTCCATGTCGTCGAACTACGTCCTCTTGTTCTTGTACCTCTCTCCGGAGTCTCTCGATTTGGCATCCTCCTTCTTCTCTTCTTTCCCAGGTATTTTTATTATTTTATTTTCCCAGGCTAAAAATATGTTACCGAAAGAGGAATAAAAATACAAGAAGGATCAGGATCTAAGAGAAGGAATTATAAGTATAAGACCTAAGTAAAAAAGGGTTCACGAGCCACAGCAAGTAAAGCCTTACCTTTTAATTCTCCTTCCGGCGCCATTTGTACGCTCTTCTACACACTATTTTTTATTTTTTATTTTTTATCCATTTGTTCGGAAACTGGTTGGATGAAAATAGCTCAGGTGAGCAGAATCTTCTTCGTCTTCTTCTTCTTTAGTGCATTTTCTTCTTTGCAATCGTCTTCGCTAATGTAGCGCGTTCTAATGCGAGTGTGAGTAGACTCGGTGATGAGATTGCTTGTTGCTTTCTTATATCCAATATATATTTATATATATATATATGTATTGGTACTTACAGTAGTAGTCTTCTTTCTTGCTTTTATTATTCTTGTTAATTCACCTGTTCAACAGCATACATACTCTATAATCACGATACTAGACCTATTTCACTGTTGGCTATAAATAGCCAGTAGTTTGCTGGAATTAAAAATAAATGTATATACACTTTTATAATGAAAGGTTTTCTTTTTTTTTTTTTTTTCTTCGAAGAAAAATCACTTTTTATAAATCTATTTATAGATTTTAAATTGTTGCAAGGTTGATATATATTTTAATTATGAATAATTTATTCTTTTTTTTTTTTTTTTTTTTAAGAAAATTGTACGCTGGAAAAGATAAGTGGATAATTTTTAGGTTGTAAGGATTATATAGTTTCATTTTAATAATTGAGTTGTGATTGGTGACACGGTTTTTGGGTTTTTTTTTATTTATTGAGATGATTTTTTTTTAAAGAAGAAATTTTTTATTATTATTATGTGAAAATATTTTTAGATGCATAATTGAGAAATGACCATGTATTTTGGGAACTATTGACATTTTTAAAGATATAAGCTCATTGTGATGTTATGGTCATTGAGACCTTTCATTTGAGTACCCACATCAATTTTTCATATATTTTATATATTTATATATTTCTGGAATACTATATATATGAAATATATAAAAAATGTCATGTAGGTACTCAAATGAAAGGTTTCTATGAGTGTAATGTCGGGGTGAGCTTATATCTTGAAAAATGTCAATAATTAAGAAATGAGCTTGTATCTTGTGAACTATTGACATTTTTTAAGATATAAGCTCATCCCGATGTTACAATCATCGAGAC